CACTTAATGTATGTGTCACATGCTGCGACTCGGGTGTTCTATGAGCTCAGTTCCTGCTTGGTTGTGGCAGTTGAACTGATAGGCATCCTCTTGATTTAGACGTCCATAAAATTTGTCTGGATGTCTGTGAAATATGTGAGAAATGTACAGGCAGCTGGCAGCCGCTGCAGAGGGAACTCCAGTTCTTGAGATATATGTGACCAAGGATGGAGGCAATCTAAGAAGCCAGGTTTGGGAAACTGACTCACCCGCCCACTCCCCTTTCAACGCTTGATTCAACTTATTTCGTTTGTATACTTTTGGGTCTATAACGTTAACTGTGTCCTCTTCGAGTTCCAGATAATGAAGGCCACACTTACAGGACTTTCTTGACTGAATCTGGATGCAATTGATGTAAGTTAATTTGAGTTACATGATTTATTTCTGAAAAGTCCTGGTGTGAGTATACCCCAACTGCTGTGTGTCCGAAATTGGATTTAACGCGGGTTTCGTGTTAAAAAATTCAACGCGCGTTGAATTCGCGTTCAATCCCCGTTTGAACGCGCGTTGGACGGGGAAAGACGGGTTCCGCAATGATTTTTTTCCTAGGCCAAACATAATCGGGAAAAATATATATATATATGGGGTCGTAGATCTTTTTGAGGTCTACGACCCCATATTTTTATTTTTATTTTTTGAGCTTTTAATATATTTTTTAAAAATAAAAAACATAAGCACAATGAAAAAACAAAAGCAAGAAATGACATGAGTCTTTTTTTTTTTGGGTTTCACAGAGATTTTTTAAGGGCTAAAACAAAAACAGAAAAAAATATAGTTGTAGATCTTTCAAAGATGTACAACAAAAATTTTTTTTTTTGTTTTTTTTATAACCTCGTGTACTTTTAAAAAAATCAAAACCATAAACAACATATTTTTTGGCCTGCATGGCTTAGGTAATCTTGCTGGGTAGACTCCCTGATTTGGCCTGCTTCGTTCACTGTTGTTGTAACCACCACCATCAGATCATTTGTGATCTGATGGCTGGGAAGCACTCTGCCGTGATTTCCAGTGGGAGGTCTCTGTTTTTTTGTTTTTTTTTTTTGCCTTTCTCCTGTTTTCTCAGCCCATGAACTCGTAATTAACCTGTTAGGCCGCTGCCACTCAGTGTTACACTGGATAGACCACACTCCAATCCGTCTGCTAATGGGACCATGCCCCTGGGGTGTGGTCCCATTAGCAGTCCGATAGAAGCGTGGCCGATCCAGTGTGACACTGAGTGGCAGCGGCCAGACAGGTTTATTACGAATTTCTGGGCTGAGAAAACAGGAGAAAGGCCACAAAAACAAAAAAAGAAACAGAGACCTCCCACCGGAAGTCACCGCAGAGTGCTTCCCAGCCGGATTTGGGTCACTCAACTGCCACACAAACTCTTTTTTTTTTTTTTTTTTGCCTGAGCTGGTGCTTGAGGTGCTGATAAGAGCAGACACCTGAGCAGGCGTGCTTACCCTTCCTTTCCCCAACCCCCACCCTGATCCTATCCGGTTGCTAGTGGGACCATGCCCCTGGTGCTTGTCACTGCTGTCTGGTCGAAATTGCCCTCAATACTGGTAGGGTGATGGTCCTGAGTGCTGGTCACAGTGAGGTAGGATAGTAGGGACAGGGGGTGTGCTGGGAGTATTAACGTGGGGATGGGTAGGGTAGGTGGCCTATCCCTGTTGCTACCAGCAATCACCACGAGTCTGGTCCTTGGCCTCTAGAACACCTTGGGCTTTCAAAAAAAAAACAAAAAACAAAGAATGGATCTTCTGCTAGAACGTGGAATAATACACCGTCATAAGATTGTCTTTTGTGCATGTGGTGAGTAGAAGCCCTTAGGGCCACTGCACGTATTCCTAAAAAAAGAAAAACGAGAAAAAACAGAAGAAAAATGAGAAAACAAAAAAAAAAACGGGAAAACAAAAGAAAGAAGAGAAACAAAAAAACGAGAAAACAGAGAATTTGTGACCCATAACTAATCTGCACAGACTGCACAGACCTGAATTCGAATCCAGACTATACCCACCCCACCCTGTTAGCAGGGGTCAATTTTTTTTTTCCTTTTCCTTGTTTTTAGTGTTTGGGCTTACTTTTTTTCCCTCTTTCTTTTTGAATTTCGGGAGGGAGGGGCATGTTTGGCCACCCCACCCTGTTAGCAGGGGTCAATTTTTTTTTTTCTTTTTCTTGTTTTTAGTGTTTGGGCGCGTAGGGCCACGTGTCCGAGGCCCAACCCGCCGGTTCTGTTTTTTAAAATTCAACGGAACACCCCTGTTTTCGCGTTAAACGCGATTTAACGGGGACCCCAGGCCCGTTGAACGGGTTCAACGGCGTTGAATTTCGCCCGTTCTCCGTTCATAGGACACACAGCCCAACTGTACATGTCCCCTTTGAGTGTGGAATGTTTGGACTCTGGAGTTCCAAGTGAACTGAGCATATTCTCCCCGCATAGGCAGCAGAGGCTTTTCTCCTTAAAATAAATAATTTGGACCATTTCTCAATTTATGTGTGTCATTGTTGGACAGTGGCCATGCTAATCCTGTCTGTATCGTCTCGACTTTCATGTATGTCTGGAAGGACAGGCAGCAAAGACTGGTATAGCTTGCCCCACACAGTTTCTACCATGAACCTTGCTATCCTCTTGAACACGCAGCAGGCACGGTATGGCTTGCCACACACTTAGTCCCAACCGCGCATATTCTCCCTGAGTAGGCAGCAGAGACTTTTCTCCTTAAAATAAATAACTTGGACCATTTCTCAATTTATGTGTCATTGCTGGCCAGCGGCCATGCTACTCCTGTCTGTATCGTCCCGAGTTTCATGTATGTCCGGAAGGACAGGCAGCAAAGACTGGTATAGCTTGCCCCACGCATAGTTTCTACCATGAACCTTGCTATCTTCTCGAACATGCAGCAGGCACGGTATGGCTTGCCACACACTTAGTCCCTACTTTACTGTGGATCTTACCTTGAGTACACGTTAGACACAGCTTAGGTTGCCCCATTGACATGTGTATGTGGGACTTAGAACTGTGAATGACCTCTGTATGCCGGAGCTGGCATCCTGACATCTTGTAGTATGTTTTCTCCTGGGCCCATGTGGTACACACCCGGCTGATGTTTGTTGAATCTTGGAGCTTGGGGGGGGCAAAAGATATAGAAAACTGGAATGCAAGAACTAAGGAAACACCTGCTGCATACTCCTGAATTTGCAGATCCTTGTTTTAACTTCTGCCTGTCAAAACTGGACTTTCCTTGGCTATGATCCATACTTGTTGCTCATGAGATGTGCATGACATGCACATAGATGGATGCACCATGTATGCTGCTGCACTTTTCTGTCACACGAAGTGTGTGTGCAAAAAAAATCGAAGTAGATAAATCTGAGAAAAGAAGTATGTGATGTAAAACTTTATTGTGATTAATTTTGCTGGATGCACTATCCTGCAATCGTAAAAAAAAGTGTAATTTTCTACCAATTTCTAAGAATGAGAACAGTCTTTTCGAACCCTTTGATTAGAAGAGATTAACATACATCTGCCTGTCACAGTGCACAGTGCACTCACAGGTGCAAGAACGAGTATGGTGACTATGGTCTGGTCTGTTGCTACCACTTTGGGTTGCACTGTTTGTCGCTGTTGCCTTGTTTCCATGTTAATTGTGCGAATGTTGATATATGTGTTGGGCACATATTCCGCTTTTATGCGTTCACAAGTCTTGGATGAGAAAGTGAAAATTTGACAAACAAAGGAAACGAGTGCGCACTGTCGGATGCTGTTCTTGCTGTAGCCCCAGTTTAGTTGTAAACAAAAGGCATGATCTATGGTATTCTTCGGTGGCCTGATGGTTCTGTTTATAACTTTATACTCCCCAGCCTCGCCGCGAAAGATGCGGCAAGAATTGATGTTCAGATAGAAAAGGCCCAGAAGGGAGGCAAACAGAACTGATCGTTGGTTTTTCTTCAGGCTGCACGGGGGGCAGATTGACTACCATTTGATGTGGGACATTTTCTCGTTGGAGAGGTGGATATCTCAAGTTATGTGTCCTGGTTTCCATGGAGTACCAGAGTCCAAACGGCAAAAGTCTTGAATCTGCTTATGGCTGCATTCTGCAAAGTGTCGCCTGTGGGAGGAGAATGAGTGGAGATGGAGGAGGATCAGAAGGAGGTGAAGGAGTTAAGTATGGAGGAGGAAATGGAGTACTTACATCAGGAAGTGGTATGAGACGAGCAGCGGGGGAGTGCTGGAATGAGCAGGAGGCTGGCGGGAGGACAGGAGGAGGAAATAGGAGTGTTTGTGTTATGAGGAATGGCTCCAGGACGGAGGAATATGATGGGAAGAAGGAACAAGCGAGGTAGGAGAGGTTGTGTAGCGTGTTACAGTTTCTGTTAGCTGGTGTCATGAGGGCAGCTTTTCTGTTTGGCAATTTTCAGCAAGCATACAGGCCTCTGAGGTTGGTTCTTATTCGTACTAGTGGGGTCCCGTAATCCAGTCTGCTTATCTGCTCAAGTGCCTTCATCTGTGCCATGCCGGAAGGTACTTGGACTGATAGTGTTGGAATCAAGTTTCAGAAGTCGGCCCAGAAAAGAGGAAAGAAAGAAAATATGTGCAATATGGCCACCAATTTTGCCCAGATTTTTTTTGCAGTTTGTTGCACCGTGAGAGGCAACCTCTGGACAGTGTATGCAATTGTTTTGGGATTTTTGCGCAAGAAAAATGAGTGTGGTGGCAAGCACCCCTCCTCAATGGCTTTGCAAGTGAAACTACCTTCTTCACACGAATACCGTCATTATCGCTGTATCTAGACTGAAACTTACACACAATACGGCTATAATGACCGGGCGTTCTATTCGGGTGAAGACGGTAGTATGTGGTGTTGAATCTTGATCAACATGGGAAAAGGAGGTTAAGTACCCTGCAACTATGCTCATTATCTTCGGGTATGCTCATGCCATCTGGCCCTGAACTATGCTTGTGGGAAGAAGCGCTCTTGTGACCATGGACCTGTCCCTGAACTATGCTGGTTATCTTAGGGTGCACTCGTCTTTTATGAACGTATGTGACTGCAAATGCAGCCCGATTCAGCCTTTATTCTTCTCGTTTTTCCCTTCTAACCTCTACGGCAATATCTGTAGTTCTAAGTGAGGTTTGCACACTGACTGAAAAACAGCTGAGCCAACTGAGCGGATGGCATTTGGTTGGTTGTTCGTTCTGCATCTGTTGTCCAGGCTGTGTATTTGCAGAGAGAGAGCGGGATTTCTGTGGAGCAAATTGGAGGAGAAGCTATGGCAGAGTTTGACGATGGTGCGGAAATCGGTTTTGAACTGGATAGGGTGGAGGAAGATGAGGAAAGTGGGGGGGATATTGAAGGAATAAGTAGAGAAGAGATGGACGGTGAGGATGAGGAAAGCAAAGGAAAAAGTCCTGTGAAGTGGGATGCAGATACGAAAAAAGAACTCTCACGGATTCTTAACTATCTGAAAAAGCGCCTTCCTGATATAAAGGTGAAGATGTTTCATGTCGTGAATCCCGGAGGGTCGGATTCAGACCTTCCTAAGATCATAGAGAAGCTGATGGGTAACGGAAACGGTGCAGATGATGAAGGAGGGCCAGACATGGCGGACATAGCAAGCAAGCTGGAGGAGTTGGAGACCGAGAATGAAGGTGGCTTGATTGATGGCAAACATGAGGAGGACACAGGAGAGGAGGAAGGATTCTTAAGAGAAACCGAGGAGGCCGATGAGAAGAAAGGATCTCCTATCCGGTTGGTGGTTGGTGCTCTGCATTCGACAGGCAATGACTCGATGAGAAGTGCTCCTCAGAGGGTTGAAGCGAAGATTGAAAAGCTGGGGAGGGATAGTTTCGCATTCAGACTGGTGAATGATGCAACATCTTCCTCTGGCTCAGAATCTTCGATGTGGACTTCAGGTCCTGAGGGATGGAAAGTAGCAGCCCTGGCAGCACAAGCTTCAGCTGACATTATGCCTGATGATGTGGCAAGGGTGATGTTCAACATGGATAAAGCTGCAGTGAAGGTTAGTCAAGGACACCTTTGATTTCTATATTATTATGAAAAGACATCCATGGCAGGGAATACGTGTGATGTATTGGATGCATGCTCTGGTTCCTCTCTTAGCAAGAACATTGAATCATCTCGAGATGCATGCTCTTTTTCTTTTGTTTCCTGTAAAAAAAAAAGACCATTTCTCGATTTATGCATGTCAGCCTTGCACAGGGGTCATGCTCATCTTCTCTGTATCGTTCCAATTTTAACAGATGTCCGGAAGGATTCGAGATGCATGCTGTATTTCCTCTCTTAGCAAGAACATTGAATCATCTCGAGAAACAACATGCCCCATGTGGGATCTAGAGTTGTGATTATTTCAAAGTCTTGCATGTGGTCTGCAAGAACTTCAGGGGGTTTGGTAGTGCTTTAATATTTCGGGTTTAGCCACCTTGGCTTCCTGCCTGTTTGGCTGTGAGGTCGTTAAGTGGGGTTGATTGTGGGCCCTACATTACCTCTCCCCACCCCACACACCCCCACAGACCCCTCCCCCTTTTGCCAATTTGGTTCGATGTCATGTGGTTTGGGCAGTGAGATTGCACTAGTCCATTGGACTCATGGCAAAAGGAGCCCAAGTCCTGTTTGTTTCCTGAAACCGTGCTTTTTGACGTTGTGTTTATAAGATTGGGTTGACAGGGACCACCGAGGATCGGTGAAGGCATCTTCTCAGTATGTCAGTTTCCATAGTCTCTAGCTGTCCAATCCAGTAAGTCTCAGAGCTTTTTCCTTTTCATTCCTGCTTGAAGCTGCTTTGCTCTCACTAGTTTCATCCAAAGGGGCAGGCCCAACTGGACTGCTTCTTCCTCTTGGTATGGAAATGTGATGATGTCCGCACCAGGTGTTAGAAAATCCTGATATCAACCATTGGATTTGAATACCTAGGCATAGACGTAGCTCAGTGGGGCCTGCTGGTAACTGTCCTGGAGCATATTGGTTCCCTCCACCAGTTTGAGTACCAGGATGAAGGATCCCTCCAATTAGTTGGTTTCAGTGGCACTGTGAAGGTCCAGTCTAGTTTAGCTCGAGGGGTAAGTGAGCCTTTTTGTCCGCAACCTGCGGCTTGCCAAAACACTATGTGGACACAGGTTGTTTATTGAAGTATTGCATCTGGTGCATTGATTGGCTGACAGATTATAATATCAGTATATATCAAGAATACGTACCAGGCGATGCTCACATGGTTGGTGCTATTTTAGGCGTATTCTGCGGATTAGAGACATATACCTCAAACCAAAGAGCACATTCTTTTATTAGCTATTATTAGCTAAACAAATAGGCGTGCAGCTGTGCTAATTTTTTGGCATGGTACTGATAAGTGTTGGCTCTTGTGATTTTTGCCTTGGCCATCTTTAGGTGTCGAAAGAACAGGTTGCTAGAGAGATTGGTGACATGTTCAAGCTGGCCCTTGCCGGTAGCAGGAGAAAGGGTCTTGCCAAGAGCACACTCTTCCAGAGGATGAACGTTGCCGATGCAAATAGAGATCCTTTAAGTGGTAAGTTGTCACAGAACCTTCCCTGGTCTGTGTGCGCACCTACGCCTTGAAAGTTGCAGAAGCTTGTGGAATCTTCTGGCAGGCATGCATGAAAAGGCCGATAGAAAGTTGCTATCCATCCCCCTTGTGGGTGAATCATGCACACTCCGCGGAAGAACCAGCGATCCACAAGTTCACAGTTCAAAACCAATCTAAACTACTCCACTAGATAAGGGCTAAATTCTCTTGAAAGAAAAGGAAGAGCGGGCCAATTCTGAGGAATGCAGATAGTTCCCATAGAAAGGGGCTAAATTCTCTTGAAAGGATGAGTGTGCCTTCTTCTGTTGTTGCTCTCCTTTGGACTGCCACATCCAATTTCTGTCCGCTGTCCGCTGGGGAAATGTTCCCACATTTCATGGGTTAAAACACCCGTCTCTCTCTCTGCCTCTCTCCATTTTCCCCCCTCTCCCCCTCTCACTCCTCTCTCTCTCTCCCTCTTTCTTCCCCCCTTTCTCTCTCCTTCCTTCCCTCCCTCCCTCTCTCTCTCTCTCTCTCTCTCTCTCTCTCTCTCTCTCTCTCTCTCTCTCTCTCTCTCTCTCTCTCTCTCTCTCTCTCTCNGGTTGTATGGTCTGGAACTGTCCAGATTGACGCTATGTACCACATCATTGAAAAAATAGATGTGTTGATGGCTAATGCACGCCCCAGCAATGATGGAGCTGTCTCTTATACACATCTAGATGTGTATAAGAGACCTCTCTCTCTCTCTCTCTCTCTCTCTCTCTCTCTCTCTCTCTCTCTCTCTCGCTCGCTCGCTCTCTCTCTCGCTCTCTCGCTCTCGCTCTTGCTCTCTCTTGATCTCTCTTGACTCTTGTGTATCTGACCGATGTGCACTGTCTCTAGGTGCTGTCTGTACTTCTGAACGTTGTCATGTCGAACCTACGATAGCCTCATAAATCAGTTACTCAATCTGTGCGTTTGTCGGCAGTGGGCATTTGTTTCTGGTGTGCAGGATGGGCATTTGTTTTCGGTGTTTCGGTTTGCGTAAAGTTGTGGTCATGCCAATGAAGCACAGAACACGTCAGAGGCACACATGTATGTAACAGCTCATGCATTCTCTCGCTCACTCTCTTGGTGTCACAGGGATTTATATCGGTGCATTTGGACCTCATGGACCAGAGGTCGTACAGTTGCGCCGGTGTTATGGGCGGTGGCCAGAGGAGCCATTTCACAACTGGGCTGTCCTCCGTGGGGTCTCCGACTCTGGCCCTCCTGCAGATGAGTCCGATGGCCCCTATGAGTATGTGGAAGCGGTGAAGCTCACAGGGGACCTTAATGTTCCTGCTGGACAGGTGCGCCTCGCCCACCTTACCCTACCTGCTGCAAGCCCTTCCGAGGACGATTGCTTCTGTTGCCCTGTTAGATAGGCCCTCTCTTCACCCCTAACGAAGGGTTCTTGTAGACAGCTTTACCATGGGCTTGTTCATGATCCCTGGTAGATGCTTTCGCGAGGAGGCCTAGGTCTGTTTAAGAGAGACCCGTTCCAGGCTTTTGTGAACCCCCTACTTGACTTGCCCCTTTTGAATCCCTACCCCGTTCACCACTATTGTTTGAAAGAAGCCCCAGCTAAGCTAAGCTTTTGCACCTTTTGCACTCCCATCCATGCCTTCTGCAGGCATTGGAAGGCCAGAAAACCATTTTTTTTAGCAGTGCACCACTTCCGCCCAAAACATTTGTAGACAGCTACAAGTGTGCATGTGTTGTTTGCGCATGTGTCTTTGTGTGATGGGGGGGAAGAGGGGGGGGG